ATTGATCGTGGGCCCTTAAGATATAGAAGAAGAAGAAGACTGTTCATAGTACTTTCACAACACAGGGTGGGGGTGGCTGATTGTTCATAGTACTTTCACAACACGGGGTGGGGGTGGCAGATTATTCATAGTACTTTCACAACACAGAGTGGGGGTGGCTGACTGTTCATAGTACTTTCACAACACGGGGTGGCGGTGGATGACTGCTCATAGTACTTTAACAACACGGGCTGAGGTTGGGTGACTGTTCATAGTAATTTCACAACACGGTGTGGGTGGCTGACTGTTCATAGTACTTTCACAACACAGGGTGGGGTGGGTGACTGACTGCTCATAGTACTTTAACAACATGGGGTGGGGTGGGTGGCTGACTGCTCATAATAATTTTACAACACAGGGTGGGGGTGGGTGACTGACTGCTTATAGTACTTTAACAACACGGGCTGGGGGTGAGTGGCTGATTGTTCATAGTACTTTCACAACACGGTGTGTGGGGGTGGGGGGCTGACTGTTCATAGTACTTTCACAACACGGTGTGTGTGGGGGGGGGGGAGCTGACTTCTCATAGAACTTTCACAACACGGGGTGGGCGGGGGCTGACTGCTCATAGTACTTTCCCAACAAGGGGTGGGGGTAGGTGGCCAAACAGTAATGATGTGTCAGAAATAGGGTTTGGATACTATATTTGAATTTTTTCTTTCAAATATTTGTAGATGACTTCTAATATATGGATAACTTCTAATATATGGATGACTTCTAACATATGGATCACTTCTAATATATGGTTTACTTCTAATATATGGATGACTTCATGACTTCTAATATGTGGATGACTTCTAATATATGGATGACTTCTAACATATAGATGACTTCTATTTTATGGATGACTTCTAATATATGGATGACTTCTAATATATAGATCACTTCTAATATATGGTTTACTTCTTATATATGGATGACTTCTAATATATGGATGACTTCTATTATATGGATGACTTCTAATATATGGATGACTTCTAATATATATAGATGACTTATAATGTTTGATTACTTCTAATATATGGATGGCTTCTAATATCTTGATGACTTCTATTATATTGATGACTTCTATTATATGGATGACTTCTAATATTTGGATGGCTTCTAATATATTGATGACTTCTAATATATGGACGACTTCTAATACAGGGATGATTCGTATGTAGATGGCTCCCACTATATGGATGACTTTTGATATATGGATTGCTTTTAATATATGGATGGTTTTTAGTATATGGATGGGGTCAAATATATTGACTGAATAGTTCAATTTGACTGACAAGATTTGACTGAATAGTTCTAATAGACTGAAGAGATAGAATAGACTGGTATCATAGAATTCAAAAATGATCTGGGCATTTTATCAATGACTCATTTGCTCTGTGCCATTTCAAAAGAACACCATTTCTTTGGCTTGACAATGGGAAGATTAAGCGAAAGACTAATGATTAATACATACTAACAAGAATTTTGAGGCAATATATATGTATTGAAAGTTTGACAGTATTTGACAGGGGGGGGGGAAGTGGTCAAACACTGCCTAGTTTTTGTGTGTGCATATTTCAGGTATGACCTCTTAAAAACTATTATTAATTCCCGAGTGAATTTATTTATTTATTTATTTAGGCATTTTTATATAGCGCTTATCATAAAGCTCTAAGCGCTTTACAATTATTAAAACATGTAAACTAAGTAAATACAAATGAGACACTAGGATAGTAACTACTATTCTATAGAAACAATGAAAATGGCTATAAAAAGAGGACACTTTGACACTTCAGGATTAAACCGAAACAGAAAATTTTCTAGTCCAACCCCGCTCTCATTGCGCACAGTGATGCCCTCTCATTCGCTGCTTTCCCCGTCGAGCGCTTGATCACGTGCGCAATAAATGCACACGAATCAACATCTCGATGGCCCACTTTTATGCAATGAGCGATTGTACTTGGCAAGGACCTGGCAGCCAGATATGAATTGAAGCTCTGAACGTGGTAGGGACATTTTGCACGGGCCGCGTGGTGGTTGTGTTGTGTTGGCCCCGGCTTGTTGTTTATTTTATAAGTTGACGGTACCGTAGCGTGACCTGATAGCACTGTGACCAGATAGCAATGTGACCAGATAGCGCTGTGACGTGTTAGTGACGTGACCTGATAGCCCTGTGACCAGATAGCAATGTGACCAGATAGCGCTGTAACCTGTTAACGCAGTGACCTGTTAGCGCAGTGACCTGTTAGCGACGTGACCTGATAGCACTGTGACCAGATAGCAATGTGACCTGTTAGTGACGTGACCTGATAGCACTGTGACCAGATAGCAATGTGACCAGATACCACTGTGATCAGATAGCAATGTGACCTGAGAGCAATGTGACCTGATTGCGCTGTGGCCAGACATTTTATCTAGTTAAGCCAACATGATATCCAGTTAAGCCACCATGCTATCCAGTAAAGCAACATGCCATGCATTTAAACCGTCATGATATCAAGTTAAGAAAACATATTATCCAATTAAACGTCACATTGGAGATGGCGTCCGTGGGTCGTCGAGCGCGAGCTCTTAAAACCCCTCCCCCCGGCACGACCCCCACACGGGCCGACGCTGGGTCTCCCCGCCGCCTGACCGTGCGAAAGCACACCGGGAACCACCCCCCCCAGGCCCGGGGGACGTCCGGTCGACTGAAAACGTTGCGTTTAAAACGTTCGCTGTCAACTCTCCTTGGGTCTGAAAAGCTTTGCTTCCTCTCCGGAGGAAAGGTGTTGCGTTGTCCCCCCACCCCCCCCCACCGTCCAGGGAGTTGTCCGGTTGGGACGAAAGTGGGGACAAAACGGTCGCCTATGAGTGGCTTTTTTAGGGCCGCTTAGTTAAAATCATGTGCTCATGGTACTTTTAAAACACGGGGTGAGGATGGGTGGCTGACTGCGGTGATGCGGGACTCGGAATTAGAGACGTCCAGTCTCCGTCACCCCTGTATCCAGCTAACCCAACATGCTATCCAGTTAAACCAACATGCTATCCAGTTAAACCAACATTATATCCAGTTATACGAAAATGATATCTAGTTAAACAAACGTGTTATTCAGTTAAACCAGCATGTTCTCCAGTAAAGCAAACATGTTATCCAGTTAACCAATTTTTATCGTGAATTCATTGATGTCTCTATGAACCGTTTTTTCCCCTTAAGGTCAGTCTTAACACCAAAATTGAAATCAGGGAATTTGACATTTTTTGTTGTTGTTTCAGTTGTTAAAAAAAATCATCTTAAAAATCAATAAATCAAATATTTTTTTTTTTAAATCGATGTTAGTTAAAAAATAATGACTCTGATCCATTACAGGGCTAATCGTTGCGAAACTATTAAAAAATGAAGAACTTTTAAAAGCACGATATCCACAGTACAGATAGTTCCAGAACCTGAAAGGTTCATTGCCCCCTGCACGGGTCTCAACTTTGTCAATGCCCGCTGGTTTTCCATCTTGTTGTTGAAGGTCACTGTGCCCCGTATTACTGCGTTGTTGAAGGTCACCGAATTCCTGCGTTTTGTTTCTACCATGACTTTCCCCGGACCGTACGATGCACTACGCAATAACAAAGGCGTGGGAAACTTAGATTTTAATTGTGCATCTTTGTTATTGCCCTCAAAATGACCACTGCAATAAAATACAAAAATGTTAATATATTCCTTGTGAGAGAGATGACACAATAAAATGTGATATGTAAGCAATCCTCTCGTGTTTGATGGAAAGAAAGAAAGAATAGAAAAGAAAGAAAGAATAGAAAAGAAAGATAGTAAGAAAGAAAGGTAAAAAAAAAGAAAAAAGGAGAAAAATGTGTAAGGAAGAAAGAATGAAAGAACGAGGAAAGGAAGAAAGGTATGTAGAATCTAAAAAGTAAAGAAAGAAAAGAAAGAAGAGAGAAAGAAAGAATCAAAGAGAGACAGAACAAGTAAGAAATATAGAAAGAAAGGAAGAAGGAAATGAAGAAGGAAGGAAAGAAAGAAGGAAGGAAGGGACGAACGAAGTAAAGGATCAAAAGGGGAAAGAATAAAAGAAAGAAGGATTCAAAGTAAGCAAAAAGGAGAGAAAGGAGGAATCAAAGAAGGATTCAAGGAAAGAACAAAAGAAAGAAGAATTAAATAACGAAATAAATAAGAAAGAAAGAAAGAAAGAAAGAAAGAAAGAATGAAAGAAAGAAAGAAAGAAAGAAAGAAAGAAAGAATGAAAGAAAGAAAGAAAGAAAGAAAGAATGAAAGAAAGAAAGAAAGAAAGAAAGAAAGAAAGAAAGTAAGGAAGAAAGAAAGAAAGAAAGAAAGAAAGAAAGGAAGAAAGAATGAAAGAAAGAAAGAAAGAAAGAAAGGAAGAAAGAAAGAAAGAAAGAAAGAAAGGAAGAAAGAAAGAAAGGAAGAAAGAAAGAAAGAAAGAAAGAAAGAAAGAAAGAAAGGAAGAAAGAATGAAAGAAAGAAAGAAAGAAAGAATGAAAGAAAGAAAGAAAGAAAGAAAGAAAGAAGAAAAGAAAGAAAGAAAGAAAGAAAGAAAGAAGAAAAGAAAGAAAGAAAGAAAGAAAGAAAGAAAGAAAGAAAGAAAGAAAGAAAGAAAGAAAGAAAGAAAGAAAGAAAGAAAGAAAGAAAGAAAGAAAGAAAGAAAAAAAAGAAAGAAAAAAGGAATGGAAAAATAATAAAATATCGAAATAAATACGAAAGAAGGAGACAAAGAAAGAAAAAATTAAAAACAAAGAAAGATATAAAGAAGGAAAAATAGAAAGAATGAAAGAAATGAAGAGTGAAGGAAAGAAAAGAAGAATGAAAGAAAGCAAGTATGAAAACGAAGAAAGAATGAAAGAAAGAAAGAATGAAAGCAAGAAAGAAAGAACAAGAAAAAAAAAGGAAAAAGAAGAAAGGTAATGGAAAAAGGGATGGACGGAAGGAAGAATAAAAGAACGAAAATAAGACTTCAAGAAGAACAAGAAAGAAATAGCTTATTCGTTTTTTTAAAAAAGGTTTTTTTCCGCTTTTACAAACGAACAACACGTTTGCTAGAGTCGTCTTCTCTATAGCACTGTTATGTTGAAAAAATGAACCTTTCTACGTTACCGGTAAGTTTTTGTTGTTTTTTGTGTTTGTGTTCTTATTATGTGTATGACGGTGACCCACTTATTCTAAGACTTTCCCAGAAAAAAAATATTCCCACATTTGATTTTTACTGGTTCTTGACTAGCTTCATTCGAATCCACTTAAAATTCACAGCGCATCGTAACAATCAGCAGATTCTCAATTTGAGCCTTTCAGCCATGAAGTTAGCCATTCTTTTCATCACTGCAGCCACCGTCGCACTTGTGACACCCGCTGTCGTACCACCGGAAGACCAGGGTGAAGGGGACTCGGTCACGATTATCACATTACCAGCTGACGTCGCAGCGGCGGCAACCAACGATGGAGTCAACGGAAGCGATGTGTTTGACGAGAATGGTGAGATTGATGGGATACCCATCAAACTTCTGAGCAAGGACGAGATCTACAGTATCCTGCAGGAAGATGATAACTTGCTGATAGCTCAACTAGGTGAGTGTCTGATAACATGGTGAGAGTCTAAGAAGTTGGGGAGTGTCTGAGGACATGGTGATAGTTCAACTTGGTAGGTGTCTGATAACATGGTGAGTGTCTGATAACATGGTGAGTGTCTGATAACAGGGTGAGTGTATGATAACATGGTGAGTGTCTGATAACATGGTGATAGTTTAACTTGGTAAGTGTCTGATAACATGGTGAGTGTCTGATAACATGGTGAGTGTCAGATAACATGGTGAGTGTCTGATAACATGGCGATAGTTCAACTTGGTAAGTGTCTGATAACATGGTGAGTGTCTAATAACATGGTGAGTGTCTGATAAAATGGTGAGTGTCTGATAACATGGTGAGTGTCTGATAACATGGTGAGTGTATGATAACATGGTGAGTGTCTGTTAACATGGTGAGTGTCTGATAACATGGTGAGTGTATGATAACATGGTGAGTGTCTGTTAACATGGTGAGTGTCTGATAACATGGTGAGTGTGCGATTAAATGGTGAGTGTCTGATAACATAGTGAGTGTCTGATAAAATGGTTATAGTTCAAATTGGTAAGTGTCTAATAACATGGTGATAGTTCAACTTGGTATGTGTCTGATAACATGGTGATCGTTCAACTTGGTAAGTGTCTGATAACATGGTGATAGTTCAACTTAGTAAGTGTCTGATAACATGGTGAGTGTCTGATAACATGGTGATAATTCAATTTGGTAAGTGTATGATAACATGGTGAGTGTCTGATAACATGGTGAGTGTCTGATAACATTGTGATAGTTCAATTTGGTAAGTGTCTGATAACATGGTGATAGTTCAACATGGTAAGTGTCTGATAACATGGCGATAGTTCAACTTGGTAAGTGTCTGATAACACGGTGATAGTTCAACTTGGTAAGTGTCTGATAAAATTGAAAGTGTCTGATAACATGGTGAGTGTCTGATAACATGGTGAGTGTCTGATAACATGGTGATAGTTCAACTTGGTAAGTGTCTGATAACATGATGATAGTTCAACTTGGTAAGTGTCTTATAGCATGGTTAGTGTCTGATAACATGGCGATAGTTCAACTTGGTAAGCGTCTGATACCATGGTAAGTGTCTGATAATATGGTGATAGTTCAACTTGCTAAGTGTCTGATAACATGGTGAAAGTCTGATAACATGGTGAGTGTCTGATGACATTGTAAGTGTCTGATAACATGGTGATAGTTCAACTTCTTAAGTGTCTGATAACATGGTGATAGTTCAACTTCTTAAGTGTCTGATAACATGGTGAGTGTCTAATAACATGGTGATAGTTCAACTTGGTAGGTGTCTGATAACATGGTGAGTGTCTGATAACATGATGAGTGTCTGATAACATGGTGATAGTTCAATTTGGTAAGTGTCTGATAACATGGTAAGTGTCTGATAACATGGTGAGTGTCTGATAACATGGTGAATGTCTAATAACATGGTGAATGTCTGATAACACGGTGATAGTTCAACTTGGTAAGTGTCTGATAACATGGTGAGTGTAGATTAGCATGGTGAGTGTCTGATAACATGTTGATAGTTCAACTTGGTAAGTTTCTGATAACATGGTGAGTGTCTGATAACATGGTGAGTGTCTGATAACATGGTGAGTGTCTGATAAAATGGTGAGTGTCTGATAACATGGTGAGTCTCTAATAGCATGGTGATAGTTCAACTTGGTAAGTGTCTGATAACATGGTGAGTGTATGATAACATGGTAAGTGTCTGATAACATGGTGAGTGTCTGATAACATGGTGATAGTTCAACTTGGTAAGTGTCTGATAACATGGTGATAGTTCAACTTGGTAAGTGTCTGATAACATGGTGATAGTTCAACTTGGTAAGTGTCTGATAACATGGTGATAGTTCAACTTGGTAAGTGTCTGATAACATGGTAAGTATCTGATAACATGGTGAGTGTCTGATAACATAATGACAGCTTAACTTGGTGAGTGTTAGATACCATGGTAAGTGTCTGATAACATGGTGAGTGTCTGATAACTTGGTGACAGTTCAAATGGTGGATATCTGATAACATGGTGAGTGTCTCATAACATGATTATAGCTCAGCTTGCTGAGCGTCTGATAACTTATTGATAGACCAGCTTGGTGAGTGTCTGATAACATAGAGCGAATCTGATAGCATGTTGAATGTTTGATAACCTGGTGATAGCTAAACTTTGTGAGTGTCTCAAAACATGGGGATAGGTAGTTTAACTTGTTTGGGCGTCTGATAACATGGTGAATGTCTGATAACATGGTAATAGCTCAACTTGGTGATTCTCTGATAACTTGGTGAGTGTATGATAGCATGGTGATAGCTTAGCTTGCTGAGAGTCTGATATCTTGGTGATAGTTCAACCTAGATGTGGGTCTGATAACTTGGTAATAGCTGAACCTAGATGTGGGTCTGATAACTTGGTGAGTGTATGATAACAATGTCCAACTTAGTGAGTTTCCGAGTTCTTTTTAACGTCTAGATGACTATAATATATAAACCATTACAATTGCGTTGTGTCAATATTGCAGATTTGTTAGTGATCAAAAAAGTTGTCCAAGGTCGCAGGGAACCAACCAGACAGCCACAGGGACGAAAAAAGCGATGGAGTCGTCCCCCTGACCACGATTGCATTGCCATTCACCCACTTTTCGAGCTATCGCTTGCTGGCCGTGTGACAACCAGTGGTTCTCATGTTACCAGACAGTACGCCAGGTGAAAATTGAATAACTTTAAAAAAATTCAATCTCGCACTTGGTAATTCTGGTCAGACGTCGGATATTTATAGCAGACGTAGGGTATTTATAGCAGACGTAGGGTATTTATAGCAGACGTAGGGTATTTATCATTTACATTTAAGATTTTTCGCTCGATACACGGTGCAACGACTTATAAACATACGCACATTAATGCAGACTTTGTGAGTGTCTGATAACATGGTGAAAGTCATTCTTTGTGAGTTTCGGATAAACACATTAATATATATTTATACACACATTGATAGATATTTACATACACATTGATATATATTTATACACTCATTGATATATATTTAAACACACATTTTATATATGCATGCATACATTTATATATATTTATACACATTTATATATATTTATACACACATTTATCTCTATATATATTTATACACACATTTATCTATATATATTTATACACACATTGATATATTTATTTATAAACACATTTATATATATATTTATACACACATTGATATAATAATAATAATAATAATAATAAAATTTATTTAAAAAAATACGCTTCATCCCCAAAGGCTCGAAGCGCGGTACAAAGTCAACAAAAAACAAATCTATAATTTACCACATTTAAAACAAACGCAACACTGCAAAAACTAATTACAAGCATACCATGTCAAAGTCTTTCTACCCATTTCAACCTTGAGCAACACAGCTAATATGCATTAACTGGAAGATATGGTAGACAATCATCCCAGAAGGTGTTTGCGAAACAGATCTGTCTTTAAATCGGTTTTAAAGGACTCCAGTTCCAAATTGTTTGACCAGCAAATGCGATATATAAATATATATTAATACACCCATTTATATATATATATTTATACACACAAATAATTTTTCTCATTAATACACACGTTTACAAAAAAAGTAATTTTTATATATATGGCAAAACTCTTTAAAAAGTTAACTCCAGTTTAACATGTAGTCCTTGCCTTCACAGACCAGGTAACTACAAGGATGCCGTCAGAGACTTTAACAGATTTTTACCCGACGGTGCGCGCACATTTTACGGTGCGAATGGCATCAGTGGACAAACAGGCACCGTCGGCAACCACAGAGTTACCGTCCGTAATGGCAGAAGTAACGAAAGTCCTACCCTGGAGATCAGATCTCCCAAAACTAATGGAGATTTCGTGAGAACGTTCACATATGAAGAGTAAGTTCATTTGTTTTTCTTTTGAAAGTAAAACTATAACTTGTATGAGCGATTAGTCACAAAATGTATTATTGAATGGGCGACATTTGTATGAGTGATTCAAAAATAGTAATACTTATATTAAAAAAGATGTATAAGGAATTAGTTTAGTTTTTATCCAGAAAAAATTGTCATGTATGTGCCAAATGCAAATATCAATGTTTTCATGTATGTGCCAAGTGCGAATGTCAACCATTTCACGTATGTGCCGATTTCAATCATTTCATGCCTGTGCCAATACCTACTCTAGCATGATGTAAATATTTTTTAAAAATTATATATAGTCCTTACCTTCGGAGACAAGGTAACTACTATGATGTCCTCCGAAACTACCCCTTGATTTGACCAGACGGTGCGCACACTTGACGGTGTGAATGGCATCAGTGGACGAACAGGAACCATTGGCAGCCACAGAGTTACCTTCCGTAATAGTAGCGGTAACAGAAGTCCTACTTTGGAGATCAGATCACTCACACTCAATGGAGAATTCTTTAGAAAATTTAGATATGAACAATAAGTTCCTTTGTTTTGTTGTTGAACGTATAACATAGACTTGTATGTGCCAATATTTATTCTAGCACGATGTAAATAAATTTTGTTTTAATTAAAGTGTTTTTTTTTTAAAATGTCAAAATGTTACTTTTCTTTCTTTATTATTATCAATCTTCTAGCAAAGTCCTTCATTGTTCAATCTAATTATGTCAGCTGGTTTGGTCATTGCGACGCTCCAGGAGAACCTGTTCAAGGCACATGTCCAGCCTTTTTTGTTCGTTTCCGTTTCAAGCAAGTGGCTAAACATAATTATAATAATTAAGTGGCATAGATCAGTCACGTAACTTTTAGAGGGGGGCCCCCACCCAGCCACGACCTACGTACTCTAGTGGGTCATGCCCCCAGCCACTTTTCGATTGTGTCTCTTACATTCGAAAAGGACAGTATTTTAAATTTGTATCCCACAATACAATTTTGGGCGCCTGAACTCTCCAAGTCCCCCTGCAGACGCAGGGCCCCACGCCAAGGCTCTGGGTACAACAGGAAATATTAACGTTGAATACAACGATTTTTTGCGGGGGATGGAAAGAGTTTAGCAAAGATGTGGACATTTCAATGGCTGATTGATAACGGACATTTCAATGGCTGATTGATAACGGACATTTCAATGGCTGATTGATGTTGGACATTTCAATGGCTGATTGATAACGGACATTTCAATGGCTGATTGATAACGGACATTTCAATGGCTGATTGATAACGGACATTTCAATGGCTGATTGATAACGGACATTTCAATGGCTGATTGATAACGGACATTTCAATGGCTGATTGATAACGGACATTTCAATGGCTGATTGATAACGGACATTTCAATGGCTGATTGATAACGGACATTTCAATGGCTGATTGCTAACGGACATTTCAATGGCTGATTGCTAACGGACATTTCAATGGCTGATTGATAACGGACATTTCAATGGCTGATTGATGTTGGACATTTCAATGGCTGATTGATGTTGGACATTTCAATGGCTGATTGATGTTGGACATTTCAATGGCTGATTGATGTTGGACATTTTAATGGCTGATTGATGTTGGACATTTCAATGGCTGATTGATGTTGGACAGTTTAATTGATGATTTATGTTTCAATGTATTTGTTGTTTATTTTCTCGACATTCCCGTGTCTATCGGAACTAAAACTTGATACACAATTATCTCTCAGGGACATAGTTTTATGGATAAAAAAACGCTTCGTGATACAAAATATTATGAAAAGCATGTCGTTAAAATTTACAATGTGTTTATTGTGTCGTTACGCAAAGAGCAATGTAATCCTAAAAAAAAAAGATAACTTGCCTGTAGAAATTTGAGATTGGAATCGAAACCTCTTTAAAAAGTTCGGTTCGACAACAACATTACCTTCAGGTTTGTTCGATAACAGCTTAAGTTCGGTTCGATAACAACATTACCTTCAGGTTTGTCCGATAACAGCTTAAGTTCGGTTCGATAACAACATTACATTCAGGTTTGTCCGATAACAGCTTAAGTTCGGTTCGATAACAACATTACCTTCAGGTTTGTCCGATAACAGCTTAAGTTCGGTTCGATAACAACATTACATTCAGGTTTGTCCGATAACAGCTTAAGAACGGTTCTATAATAATCAGGAATGATGAAACCGTGTGTTTGGTGGATTTTTCACCTTGAAAAAAAAAAGGGGGGGAGGGGGGGAGTTCACCGTTTTATAAATCCTCTTTTAAACGGGATTTCTGTTTCTATAATCGTGATCGAGTCCTATGGCAGACCTTTTTACCCTCTGGGTGAGTGTCAGGATAGTTTTCTATAGATTAAGTGGCACAATTTTCCGACTTCGCCCCCAGGGGCCGCATTTCCTCGACATCGCCTTGTCCTGAGGACTGCGAGTACTTCATTTGCAAAAACATAGGGCAACACTATGATGACAATTCCTACAAATCATAGAGGGATATTTTTACAGCATTCCAGATATAAAGGCTTTTTTTTTTGGAACTATCAAATTTCGGGATGCTTATTGTAGAATTTTTTAATAAATGTGAACTTTCTGCCATGACCCCATACGAACGCGGCAATGAGGGGGAGTGACTGCAATCAGGTAAGACACAACATTGGCAGTTTTAACTATTAATTAATTAATGCACCCATAAACGAAAAATATTCTGGTTGGCTTATTGAGATCGAGACCGCCAAGGCCAATCACTCTTATTCGACTGCTTACGGTGTTAACACAATAAACGCGGTAACTTTATTTAAAGAAAATAACACAGCAGCTCATATCATATCATCATATCATATCATCATCTCATATAATCATATATCATATCATATCATCATATCATATCATCATCTCATATAATCATATATCATATCATCATCTCATATAATCATATATCATATCATATCATCATATCATATCATCATCTCATATAATCATATATCATATCATCATCTCATATAATCATATATCATATCATATCATCATATCATATCATCATCTCATATAATCATATATCATATCATCATCTCATATAATCATATATCATATCATATCATCATATCATATCATCATCTCATATAATCATATATCATATCATCATCTCATATAATCATATATCATATCATATCATCATATCATATCATCATCTCATATAATCATATATCATATCATCATATCATATCATCATCTCATATAATCATATATCATATCATCATCTCATATAATCATATATAATATCATATCATCATATCATATCATCATCTCATATAATCATATATCATATCATCATATCATATCATATCATATCATCATATCATATCATCATCTCATATAATCATATATCATATCATCATATCAAATCATCATATCATCAAATCATATCATATCATATCATATCATCATATCATATCATATCATATCATATCATATCATATCATCATATCATATCATATCATATCATATCATCATATCATATCATATCATCATATCATATCATATCATATCATATCATATCATCATATCATATATCATATCATCATGTCATCATATCATATCATATCATATCATATCATCATATCATCATATCATCATATCATATCATATCATATCATCATATCATCATATCATATCATCATATAATATCATCATCTCATATAATCATATATCATATCATCATATCATATCATATCATCATATCATCATATCATATCATATCATATCATCATATCATATCATATCATATCATATCATCATATCATCATATCATATCATATCATATCATCATATCATATCATATCATCATATCATCATATCATATCATATCATATCATCATCATATCATATCATATCATATCATCATATCATCATATCATATCATATCATCATATCATATCATCATCTCATATAATCATATATCATATCATCATATCATATCATATCATCATATCATCATATCATATCATATCATATCATCATATCATATCATATCATATCATATCATATCATATCATATCATATCATCATATCATATCATATCATATCATATCATATCATATCATATCATCATATCATATCATATCATATCATCATATCATCATATAATATCATATCATATCATCATATCATATCATATCATATCATCATATCATCATATCATATCATATCATATCATCATATCATCATATCATATCATATCATCATATCATCATATCATATCATATCATCATATCATATCATCATCTCATATAATCATATATCATATCATCATATCATATCATATCATCATATCATCATATCATATCATATCATATCATATCATCATATCATCATATCATATCATATCATCATATCATCATATCATATCATATCATATCATCATATCATCATATCATATCATATCATCATATCATATCATCATCTCATATAATCATATATCATATCATCATATCATATCATATCATCATATCATATCATATCATCATATCATATCATCATCTCATATAATCATATATCATATCATCATATCATATCATATCATCATATCATCATATCATATCATATCATATCATATCATATCATCATATCATATCATATCATATCATATCATATCATATCATATCATATCATCATATCATATCATATCATATCATCATATCATATCATATCATATCATCATATCATCATATCATATCATATCATCATATCATATCATATCATATCATCATATCATCATATCATATCATATCATATCATATCATCATATCATCATATCATATCATATCATATCATCATATCATATCATATCATATCATCATATCATATCATCATCTCATATAATCATATATCATATCATCATATCATATCATATCATCATATCATATCATCATCTCATATAATCATATATCATATCATCATATCATATCATATCATCATATCATATCATCATATCATATCATCATATCATATCATCATCTCATATAATCATATATCATATCATCATCTCATATAATCATATATCATATCATCATATCATATCATATCATCATATCATATCATCATCTCATATAATCATATATCATATCATATCATCATATCATATCATATCATCATATCATCATATCATATCATCATCTCATATAATCATATATCATATCATCATATCATATCATCATATCATATCATCATATCATATCATATCATCATATCATATCATATCATCATATCATCATATCATCATATCATATCATATCATATCATCATATCATATCATATCATCAAATCACCATATCATATCATATCATATCATCATATCATATCATATCATATCATATCATATCATATCATATCATCATATCATCATATCATATCATATCATATCATATCATATCATATCATCATATCATATCATATCATCATATCATCATATCATATCATATCACATATAAATATAAAAGTGAAGGTTTGTGGGTTTGTTCCACAAAGGCTTTTACATGGATTGATGGATCTTGACCTAACTTGGCACATATATCCATCATTTTTTCGAAAGAACTCTTAAAGGGTTATGAAGTTTTTATAACATTCCGTTTGGGGCTGGGGGC